AGGGGCCTTGGCGATTCAATAGTCCACCTCTTCGAGCTTTTCTCATCTGTAAAAGGCAGGGGTAGACTGGATGGCCTCTAAAATCTCATCCAGCTTTAACCCTATGATATGATTGAACATATGAGCACAATGAATCCCAGCGCAGGTAAGTAACTTAATAATAATAGCTGATAGCTAACACTTATTACATGCCAGGACTATGCCAAGCACTTTACAATTATTATTTCATTTGAGCCTCATAACAGCTCTAGGAGATAGGTGCTATTATTTTCCCCATTTTACAGATGAGGAAATTGAGGCAAACTGAGGTTAAGTGACTTGTACAGAGTCATACAGTTAGTAAATTGCCTAAGGCTGGATTTGAGCTCAAATTTTCCTACTATGTGCCAGGTTTTCCTGTTTTCAAGTACAACGCCCTACCTATGACCATTATGAAGCCTGTTGAAGAGAGGGACATAACACACAGAAGCCTCAGAGCCTCAGCAGCGCTCTGGGGAACACTTCACCACAAGGTCACCCTATCAGTTTAGGCTCCTAAGCAGGGAAATCTCACCGGCCTTAGTTTAGCATTTATTTTAATTTATTTTAATTAATTAAATTTATTTTAATTAAATAATTTAAATGAATTAATATGTATGTGTTATTTCCCCAAAAGAATATAAGCTCCTTGAGGGCAGCCTTTGTTTCTACTATGCCTGGAACGCACATCCTCTTTACCTCTGCCTCTTAGAATACTTACCTATCTTCAAGACTCCGCCCAAATACCATATACTGAAGCACAAGACCATTCCTGGTCCCCCAGCAGCAAGAGAGGCCTTCCCCTCAACTTACCTGATGTTCATCTTACACATACCATTTTGTGTTAGAATGTAAGCTCTGTCACCACAGGGTTTGTTTCACTGTTGTCTCTGTATACTCAGGCCCTAGCACAACGCCTGGCACATAGTAGGCCTTCCATACCTTGGTACCAAATTACTCTCCACGCCTGAAATAGATTCCCCTCTTTACCCCAGGCTTATAGAGACCTTCTCTTCCTCAAACACCACCTTGTGCCCAAAGCCTTTCCCAATCCTCCTCTATGCCTTCTCTACCAAATGACTTTGTCTATGCTTGCATTTATTCACTTTATATTCATGCTGCACATATAGAGAGTGTGTCTATATATGCCTCCCTATGAGAAAGTAAGGTCTTTTTGAGAAATGATTGTTTCATTCTTTGTAATTGCATCCTCAGTGCCTGTCACACAGTAGGCGCTTCATAAATGCTAGTTGATTTGACTCATTTCAAGCCTGGCTCAACTCAGCTTTCTTGCTTTCCATTTGCTTTCTATATTCCAGCCAAACCATACTACTAACTCTTTCCCAGTCTTATCTTCCATTCACCCAGCTCTGAAGCTCCCTGTACATCACCTCCTATTTCTTGAATATACTCTTTTATCGAGATCTCTCTCTCTTTCCTCTCCTCTCCTCTCCTCTTCTCTCTCTCTCTCTTTCTCTCTCTCTCTCTCTCCCCCTCCCTCTTCCTCCTTCTTCTCTTCCTTTATCTACCTATCTATGTGTGTGTGTCTCTAGTGTCTGTAATTGTTAAATTTAATATAACCAAATGTCAAAATATGTTCAGTTTTTTTTTGTACACAGCAGACACTAGATTTTTTTTGGGGGGGAGGGAATCATACTGGTAAATTGCTAATAATGAAAATCTCTTATTAATACAGATCAGTACTTTCTCTTCAATATATAGTCTTGAGGACACTCAGAAAGTTAAGTGACTTGCCCAGATTCACAGAGTTAGGATGCATCAGAGGTGAGATTTGAATTCAGGTCGTCCTGACTCTAAAATCAACTCTCCATCCTTCTGGGCCAATACTGCCTCTAATCAAAATATATGGTATAAAAAAAGAAGTGCCAGGGATAGATGTGAAAGGCAAATAAGAATAGTCAGAAAAATGATCTATAAGAAATGATAAAGTGGATTGTTTCTGAGAAACCTGCAAAAAAAAATATATGAACTGATGCAGAGTGAAATGAGAAGACCCAGAGAACAATTTCCATGACAACTTGGTAAAGACAAACAACTTTGAAGGACTCAGTGCAGTGACCAGCACAATTCAATTACAGACCAATGACAAAGGCTTCTGCCTACCTCCTGATCAAGACATCATGGACTCAAGATGCAGAATTACACATACATTTTTTGGACATGGTCAATATGAGAATTCATTTTGCCTGACTATGCATTTTTGTTATGAAGGCTTTGTTTTTGCTTTTCTTTTTTTTTTTTCAGTTGGGGAAAAGGGTGTATGTGGGGGAAATGCTGGTTTAATTGAAAAAAAAAAGTAAAAGGTCAAAAAAAGAAAAGTGATCCACTCCCTGGGACAATGATTCCAGCCATGGTACTGAGGTCTAAATGTTGGCATTACAGGCAGGGTAGAAAGAGCAAGTTATCTTCCCGCTAGGTAACTTCCCATTACAAACTGATAGGTTCTAAACGAAAACTCTCCCTGATCCTGGCAAGTAAGGCAAATGCAATCTGGGGATAACTGGCTGAGAAGACCAGTATAAGCTTCTTACCTCACTTTATCATCCCCCTCATACCACTACCACTTCCCTCACACCCAGGATTTCCTTTAATTGGAAGAAGACACATGCCATATTCCTAGGAACCCAGCTCCTTGCTGACCAAGAACCAAGCTCTGCCTCAGACAGCCACCTCAAGTTTGACAAACCCCACACAGGAGTAGGCTAGGTCAGTATCTGGGTGTGAATTTCAAGGGAAAACTCTTGGGGTGCAAGAGGCCAGACTGGTGAGTCAGCTGGAAAAAAGTGCTTCACTCCTGAACCTTCAGATTAGATGAAGGAGATGTTATAGGCAATAATTGACTGGTTCTACAACTGCTCCAACCCACACGATCAATGATTGAGATCTGAAAGGGATCCTAGAAGTCATTTAGTCCAACTCTCATTTTACAATTAAGGATACTGAGGCCCAGAGAGGTAGTGATTACCTAAGTGTAACATAATGACATATAAGTGCAGAACCAGGATTTGAACACAGGCACTCTTGACTTCAAATTCCATGCCCTTTCCATTGCACCACAAAGTTTTTCAGGTCAGCTCTCATTCAACCATCATTGGAACTCACCTAACCCCTACTACCCAAAAATCTTTGAGAATGAACAGAGAATGGGATCCCCCTTTCTCCTAACTATGTTGTGGCATATAATGTGTTTCCTTAGACTTGACTCAGCCCGTCACTACAATTCCATCCTAGGCATTCATTACTTCCTGCCCTGACCCATCATGGGCTGACATCACTGAAGGACCTTTAGTCAAGGCCCTTGCTCAAAGGAGGATGAAGTTTTGAAATGGGGGACATATATATTTTTGTGTGTCTATACATAACTGGGGAGATGCAGTTAATACTCAAGTGGTGAATGTAAGATTGTAAAATCTGAATTTTAAAAATTGGGTCGATCTCTGTGAAGTGGAAAGAGCTTGGGATTTGGAGTCAAGAGGACATAGGTTCAAAACCTGAAACTGCCATTTATGACCTATGCGGCAGTGGGAAAATCACTTTACTTGTTGAGGTCTCGATTCCGTCATTTGTAAAATGAGGGAGTAGGATTAGATGACTTTGAAGGTGCCTTCCAATTCTAGATCTACGATCATTGCTATGACCTGATAGAAATATAATAACTCCCAATTTCCATTGAGACGCCATTTAGATTTGGGAGCCAGTATGCCATCAAATGATCTGTAATCCATTTAGCAGGGGCCTAACTTCCATCTCTCCTCTCTCCAGAAGTTTGAGTCTCTCTCTGGCCCCTGGTGTCAGTATTTCAAGTGCAGACCTGTGAGGATCCCACTTCTAATTACAAAAAGAGGCACCGTTTGGAGTCAGTGAACAAGAAGGAAAGAAAACATCAAACTGGATTTTGGAATCAGAAAGTAAGGAAATATATTAATTAACTTGGGAAAAAGTTCTAATTTTTTTATTATGAGTTCTGTTATCCTTAGAGCTGGGAAAACCTAAGGTTGGGATAGAAGGCTAGGTTAGGGGTAGGAAAATGTCCACAAGGAAAAGGAAATAAAACATCATAAAGAGAAGAAAAGGAAACTAGGTGTAGAAAAGGAACTTCAGAACAAGGCAGTGAGGATGGGTTAGTCACAAAAGTTTCTATTACAGTAAGGTATCAGAACATAGCTAAGTGATAAAGAAGAGTCTAATGGAGTAATACATCCATTATGACCTAAGAGAGAAGGGGGGGGCATTTTTTCTATGCCCAGTGACATAGGGATGCAGAATTACGAATAGACAGAGCTAAGGAGGAGGAAACTGGTACAAAGGAGACATTAGGCCAGGAATGCTAATGTCAACACAGGGGATCTGGGACAGATGGGACAGGTAGAGGAAAGAGTAAGAGGCTCAGAAAGGCATAAGAAGAAGTGGAAATAGCAGTAAGTCTTAAGGTACACAAAGAAAACCGCCATCAATTTGGGTGAGAGGGAGGGAGGGAGAGAGAGAGAGAGAGAGAGAGAGAGAGAGAGAGAGAAAGAGAAATACGTATGAGTGAGAGGCCCAATATCCTGGGAGAGGGGGAAAAGAACAGGGTTATGGGCAACAGAAAAGAGAAGCTATCAGGACGTGGGCCAGGAGTAAGAGAAGAAAGATGCGGGGCTGGGAAAGACGAGAGGAAAAAGAGACAGGCCTGAGAATAATAAAGCCGCGGGCCGGGGACGGGGAGGAGGTACCTTTGCGGGAATAAGAAGGATGCTTGGCCAGAGAGGAGAGTGAGAGAGAGCAATAATCTCTTGGAATTAAGGCAATGGGGAGGCAAAGGGAAGGAAGACAGTATGGACACCGAAGAGAGAGACGGGGAAGGAGAAAGAGGCAAAAGAGGATCCCTACTGCAAGCTGAGGAGAGAAGTCCTGGAGGCTGGTGGGCCTGTGGAGCCCGGGAGAGCCCGGGCATGGGGCTGGGGTGGGGAGCAGCCGCTTACCTTTAACTTGATTGGCCAAGGCTTTCCATTTAGGGGCGAAGGCGATGCAGTGTCCGCACCAGGAGGCGAAGAACTCTACTACCCAGGCGCTGGGGGAGCCCAGGGCAGTTGGCTTCAAGGTGCTCTCCGTTAGCAGCTGGAGGGGGTCTTCGGTCGAGTACAGCATCGCACGTAACCGCGCCGCATCCGCCTGGGGCACCAGGAGCGAGGCTAGCAGCAGCAGCCCAAGCGGCAGACTCCACGCTCCCGAGCCGGAGGCCGGACCCATGGTGGCGGCGGAGCAGCGGCCGCGCCTCCGCATTCTGGGTAGGCGCCTGCTGCCGGGGGCTGCGGACAAGTTCGGAATGACTCCGGGGAGCGGCCGAAGCGCAGCAGCCGGCCGCAGCCGGGGACTACAACACTCTGGCTGGCTGCGCCCGCCTCCCCCGGGGAGGTGCGAGGAGACTCCTCCCCTTGAAAGACCCGCCCACCAAGGCAGGAGCCGTTGGGGGGAGCTCCTCCTTCCTCATTTCCTTCCCCACCCCCTTCCTTCTAAGGAGGCAGCTCTGGATTTGGGGAACAGGGGGGAGGATCCAAGTTTACGTGTGCGTATTGTTCTTGATAGCTATTGGACGCTGATGTAGGGGTGCCCCAGCGCCACGACATCTTCGAGGGTGCCCTTCCAAGCTGGGCACAGGGCAGCAGCCCAACTTGACAACAATCGGTTCTTCCTTTTCGGAGGCCTTCGCACATCCTCGCCACCCCACTTCCTCTTCCCCACGCTCATACCCCTGCCAGCCGTGGCCTCAAAGCCCGGTGCTGAGCCCTGCTGAGCAAGGCAGGCCACGACTGGGAAGGAGCCCTCTGCCTTGCGGAACCTGCTTTTGGCCTGGAAGCCAATGGAGATGCCTCCCGGTTTCCCAGGGTTTCAATGCGAGTGGCTTTCCTTTTTTGATGGATAAGAGAAAATAAGCTCTCTTGCTTCCTTGGGCCAGAGACATCAAGAAAGCGTGAAACACTGGAGAGTGTTATTTTAGGGACTCCTCTCTCCACAGCCCGCATCTACACTCTCCATTCACTTTCCGAAGTTTCCCTTCTTTCCCCCAGCATGAAGACTGAGCAGAGCCAATCTGAGAGTAGAGGAGGATTGAACTTGTGTCTCCTCCTTGGCATGACTTTAGGCCCCTCTCACTACTTGTGTCGGACCTCTCTGTTCTGCCTTGGGCTTCTCATGTTTGTTTATAGGTTTTTGTCAAAGGACCTGCCCTTAGCAAAATTGAAAAGTAGGAAAAAAAAAAAAAAGACAAGCAGCTTCCCACATTGCTGCTCCTGCTGCCGCTCTCACCCTGCTTATCTCAGCACTATTCCTTCAAATGGGCACCGAGGCCTCTCATGCCATCCCATGGATTCTCAAGATTTTCTCCCCTCTCTCATCACTTTGCCACCTCAACCAGCACTGTCCACCCCTTAGGTCCAGGGTTCTGGATCTTAAGGAACTTTTGCTCTTTTCTCTTTGCCTGTTCAGTCTGCTGAATACCTACCCAAATTTTAATAACACCTACTCTGAGAAACCTTCCTGATTGTTCAATTCAGACCTCACATAGTACTGCAGTTGATGCTTCTTTTTTGTCTTATCATCGTGGGAACCTGAGGGACCCTGGAAGTTCCCTCCTATAAGGAGACAGGCAGAATAGAATTTGTGGGACAACACTGGAAGTACTGGCCCAGTGTTCTCTAGAATAGAGGTTAGGGAAGTGGTGAGATGTGCATATAGACATACAGGTTTGGGATTCTTTTCCATTTACTTGACTTTGAGATTGGAGGTTTTCCATTTCCAATGTGAGGCATGAGAAGACACTGAAATCAAGCTTATTTCTTGAGGTTCAGGGCTCCTGCTCACCATGGATGTAGTTGGGGTACTCAAGCCAGGATGGCTTATGGACTTAAAGGCAAGCAACAGCTGACTTTGGGATTGGGTCTGCCATACTTCAGCAATCATTAGTTTAAGTGGCCCAAGTCAACATGCTGGTAGACAGAAAAAGAGAAGCAAAGTCAAGATCGAAATCAGGGCTTCTATGAACCTGAGGCATTTGTGGTGAGTTAGATCCTGGAGCAGAAACGAACAGAATAGGTAGGACTAGCAGCTACTGAAAATCCTTTCCAGTTGGTGAGATGGAGGGGAAGACAAACCACAATTTTCCTCACTTATCATTTCCCACCTTGAGATGGGGTCCTGGACACACGACTTATTTCTATAGTAAAATAGTGCAGACGTTTTGGGGTTCCTCCTACCCCAGACCTTCAAAGATCTGGGAGGGTAAGCAGGAGGAAATTCAAGTGATGGCCAGAGGCAGATAGTTTCATTTAAGGATGCTTAAACTCACTTTCTTTCATTTTTGTTTCTTTCAATAAATTATGTGACTGTGATATATTGAATATTTGTGTCTTGTGAATGGGGTTGGGAGTGAGTAGTTGACCAAAAAAAGAAGATTCCAGGTGCTAGGTAGGAGCTCTAGATTTTGTGTTCCTGATATTTCTAGCAGTATTCTATGTCATCTCCTACCTAAATTCCTACCCAATTGGAAGCCCAGTCGCTCATCGGTATGGAAGTGATCTAGGCATTTGCTGACTGAGTGCTCTCCAGTGGTCGGTGGTGACACCACAGCCTTTTGGTGTGTTACAACTATATCTGTGCCAGATAGAAACTGAGATGACTAAGGGGGCTGGTAGCTCAAGGAGAGGGTCACATAGTAGACAGTCCAGATAAAACACTCCTTCGATGGATAGTTGATACAGTATCACATCACCTTTCTGTAGGCTTAAAGAAGGCAAGGCCTGAGCCTATTTGGCCTGCTTATACCAAAATGCCACTATTGTACTATACCAAGAATCAGGTATTATATGCACAAAGTAACTTCTTTGTCTTTTCATTCAATAAGCATTTATTAAGTGACTCTCCTACGGACCAGGTACTGTGCTAAGTGCTAAAGATATATAGACAAAAAAAAAAGGAATCAGTTTTTGCCCTCAAGGAGTTTACATTCTATGTGAGGGAGACAGTATTATACAAATAAGGAAATACAAAATACGTACAATGTAGTATAGGTTGAGGAGGGTGCTACCAGTGGATGAGAATTAGGATAGGATTCATGTGGCAATTGAGCAGAACCTTGAAGGAAGCTGGGGCAGAGGTGAGAATGGACTGCATTCCAGGTATGGGGGACAGCCTCTGAAAAGGCATGGAGATGGAAGGTGGAATGTTATATTCAAGGAACAACAGGTGGTCCAGTTTGGCTGGACTATAGAGTAGATGAAAGATAATAACGCACAGTAAGACTAGAAAGGCAGACTGGCTCCAGACTGTGAAAGGCTTTAAATGCCAAACAGAGAAGTCTCTACTTTATCTGAAAGGCAAGAGAGAGCCCCTGGAGCTTCACTTACATTTTCTTTTGCATTTAAGAATAAATAATAAAGATAATAAATTCTTAATAAAGTATAGTTATTTATTGTGTATATAAAACATTTTATAAACCTGAAGTGCTATATAAATATGAGTTATTATTAATTTCTCCCCCAAAGTCCTGTTCCTGTCATCATGCCTTCTGATCAATGTATGGGGGCACAGACTCTATATGTTATCCAGTGGCAAGCTCACAAGCCATCCCTAATAAATGTTTATTGAATTTAATAGAACCTTTCCTTTGTTTATCTTTTACAATAGAATTGACCTATCTTGTTTCCCATTCCTAGTTAACATGATAATCTACTCTGTGCTAAATCATGGAAGATTTGGATATGCCTGAAATAACTGAACAACAAAAAGAACAGTTTATACAATGACTACAATAAGGCAAAAGAAAACAACTTTGAAAGACTTCAGAACTCCACCAATGCAGTGACCAATCATAGCTGCAGAAGGCTGATGATGCATCTTGGCAGAGAAGTGGCAGATTAGAGATGCAGAATGAGTCACACATGTTTAATCATGATCAATGTGCTGATTTGTTTTGTATGACTATGCCAGGGGTTTCCAAACTTTTTCAGTCCCCCTACACCTTGGGTTTCTGTAAACCTTCCCACACTCCCTGATTAATATGAAAGGAAATAAATTCTAGAGTTTACCTCACATATGTACCTAAGAAATAAGTTAGAGAATAATTGATTGCAATAGAATAACATAACAACTTAACAAGTATTTTCCATACCCTCTTGACAAACTTCTTGTACTGTCCAGAGAGTATGCTTATCCCAGGTTGGGAATCCCTTGGCCATATTTATTTGATACAAAAGGAGGACTTCTATGGGAGAGGGGGATGAGGAAGAAAGAGGGGTAAATTAATGGGTAGTGATAGAGATTTAAAATAATAATAATAGATAGCATTTATATATCACTTTAAATTTTCCAAAGCTCTTTATATGTGTTAAGAGCATCAATAAAATTATTTTTAAATAAATTTCATTTTATTTTCAGTTACGAATCCTTTGTCTCTCCTCTCTTTCTCCTCCACCCACTGAAAAGGCAAGAAAAACAAGTTCCATTACAAGTAAGTATAGTCATGCAAAACAAATTCCCATATTTACCATGTATGAGAAAGAGAGAGAAAGAAAAAGACAGAGAGAGAGAGAAAGAAAGAGAGAAAGAGAGAGAGAGAGAGAGAGAGAGAGAGAGAGAAAGAGAAAAAGAAAGAAAAAAAGTAGAAAGAAAATAAGTGTTCATCTGTCCTCTGAGTCTATCAGTTATCTATCTGGAGGTATATAGCATGTTTCAACAGAAGTCCTTTCAAATTGTGGTTAGTCATTGTGTTGATCAGAGTTACTAAGCTTTTCAAAATTGATTATCTTTACAATATTGTTACTGTACAAATTCTTCTTCTGTTCACTTCACTTTGTAACAGTTCATACATATCTTTTCAGGTTTTTCTGAAATCATTCCCTTCATCATTTCTTATAGCATAATAGTATTCCATTACATTCATATACTGTAATTTGTTCAACCATTCACCAATTGATGCATATTCCCTCAGTTTCCAATTCTTTGTCACCACAAATAAAGGTGAGATAAATATTTTTGTGTGTATATAGGTCCTTTTCCTCTTTCTTTGATTTCTTTGGGGTACAAATGCAGTAGCAGAATCACTAAGTCAAAAGGTATACACAGTTTAATAGCTTTTGGGAAATAGTTCCAAAATGCGTTCCAGAATTGTTGGACTAGTCTACAGATGCACTAACAGTGCCTGTTTTCCCATAGCCTTTCTAGAATTGTTATTTCCTTTTTTATCAACTTAGCAAACTTATGGATTTGAAGTAGTACCTCAGGGATTGTTCTAATTTCCATTTCTCTATTATTTAGAACATTTTTCATATGGTTAGTTATAGCACAGATTTCTTCCTCTAAAAACTGCCCATCC